ATGTGTGTATTTTGACCTCAGTTGTCAGGGAGGAACCTGGAGCTACAGAGTATGCAGGTAGTTCTCCACCTGCTTGACCTGTTTACAGGTCCATAGCCCAGGTGCTGACTGCTGGTTAGAGAGTGGGTCTTTACAGCCTGAATGAGAAAAGCAGACACTGCTAATGGGTTGGCTTCCTGGCCAGCCATTGAGGATGGGTCCAGGGCCTGATGTCTTGGTGAGTAACTTTCTCTGGAAACCGATCCACACTGATGTGGGCTCTTGAGAGTGCAAGTGTCTTGTGGGAACCTGTTGGAAGACAAATAGCCAAATGATAGCAAGAGGATTTCCTGTTCGTCAGAATCAGCAGTCCTCTTCAGAAACAGTGCCTTTCTTTCCTCAACTCAGTCACAGCGAGCCTGTGTCCTCACTGAAGCAGGTGGAGGTAGAGGAACACCCCCGCTCAGAGCATCTGTGTTATAAGTGTTCTTATAAGAAGAGGGGAAGGGAGAAGGAGAGAACGCCATGTGGAGCTGAGAGTGATGCTACCACAAGCCAAGTCAGGCTGCCAGAAGAGGGACAATTCAAGGAAAGATCCTCCCTGAGAGGCTTTAGAGGGAACAGGGCCTTGCTGACACCTTGATTTTGGACTTCTGGCATCTAGAATTGTGAGAAAATAACTTTCTGTTGTTTTAAGCCACCTAGTTTGTGGTACTTTGTTATGGAAGCCTCAGGAGACTTAACAGCCCCCACTGGGGAAGCGGGCCATGCTCCTGAGTGGACTAGATGGAATCCTTCATTCACCAGTGGGCGGTTGGGATCAAAGCCACCTCCTGGCTGGCATCTATGTCTGTTGTGCAGAACTTTCCTTTTTTTCCTTAACTGTTTAAGGGATTTTCTGTTAGCCCTTCTTAACCTTTCTGTTCTTTGGTTACAGTGATTGGTTTTAGAGCCAAGACCACTTTGTGTTTGGGACTAGAGCCATGCAAGGCCCTTTGCTGCCTTCAGAGAGGTTGGCCTATTAGAGTGCAGCTTTTGTGTCTGGCTTAACTTCTCTATTCTGTAATCTCACTTAGATGATCTTCAAGTTTTCATCTTTAGGTTTCTGACTAATTGTATGATGAGATTCAGATTCAGAAAAGGTTCTCCAGGGGTTGGCTGAGTGGCTCACTTGGTTAAGAGTTTGCTTAAAAGCGCGAGCTCTGAGCAACAGGGCCACTGGTTCGATTCCCACATGGGCCAGTGATGCTGAGACTGAGCTGAGCTGTTGCTGAGCTGCCAGTGGGTATTGGGATGGCTCAGCTGGTGTAACAGCAAGATTGCCTGTTTGATGGTCGCTACGCCCACCTGCACCTAAGACTGAACTCGGCACCATGAGCTGAGCTGCCACCCGGATGACTCAGGGGATAGAGTGTGTGCTCTTAACAACAAGGCTGCTGGTTTGACTCCCGCATGGGATGGTGGCTACACTCACCCACAACTAAGATTGAACATAGTACCTTGAGCTTAAGAGGCCACGAGCTGCCGACGGGAAGCCAGATGGCCACTGGTGCGCTCCACAACGAAGATTGAAGAACAACTTGGCTAGTCCCCTTTCCCAGTTTCCCAACACTGTTCCCCTCCCCCAATTCCCCAATAAAATCTTTAAAAAAAAATGAAAAGGCTCTTCAGGCTGGCTAGCTGTGCAGCCCAGGCCCTCGAAGCACCAGGGTCTCCCACCCCATCCGTCGCACTCTCCAGCCTCCCGCAGTGTAGCTCCTCGTTTGTGTCTCAGTGGGCCAGCCGGACAGTGAGGTGGGGGTTTGTGACATGTTCCGTAAGGTAATAAGGAGGACAGGAAGCCTCTGAGAGAAGCAGACAACATAGAGAGCAGCTCTGTGAGGCTGTTGGGCTTAGTCCAGCACTTAGAAGTGGCTGCTTTGTTTTGTAGTATTTTAACCACATCAGTATCGAGGATTCAAGGGTCTACGAGCTGACCAGCAAGGCCGGACTGTTGTCTCCCTATCAGATCCTCCACGAGTGCCTTAAAAGGTAGGGTGGGGCTTCTCCTCCTGTCAGTTGGTGGGAGCTTTTCCCTGGGTGCCCAACGTCCTTACTGGCTATTTATCCTGGCTCAAGAGTTGATCCTAAAGACCAAGCCGTTGCACATGTTCTCTGTGTGCACAGAAGCCCCTCTGCCTGGCGATCCGTCAGAGCTCCATGGGATCAGATCGGGGGTACTTGGATAACCTCCTCTTCAGCTGAGAAGGGATTTTGGGGAAAGGGTTGACATTGTCTTCAGAGAGCCCTTAAGGAGCTTTCTGGAAGCAGCCGTTTCCTCCTCCTCAGCTGATGTCACCCACTGTCTTTGTTTTCTCTTAAAGAAACCATGGAATGGGTGACACATCCATCAAGTTTGAAGTGGTTCCTGGTAAAAACCAGAAGAGTGAATATGTCATGGCGTGCGGCAAGCACACAGTGCGCGGCTGGTGTAAGGACCCGCCCCCTCTTCCCTGCCACTCACCATGCTGTCAGATGACCACTGAGGGGTGTTGCACTACCATTGCTCCTGAGCTCCAGCTGTGTACACTGACCACCTGTGGTTGTGGCCACCAGCATCTCATGTTGATGTCTGAAACACAGCCTGAGGCACCACTGTGATAGCCCTGTGTGCACCGCCTCTGTCCTCCCTCCTGCGGGCTGGGGCTGGTCATTCTGGCTAGGCCTGCCACCTCTGCCCCCATCCAGCCCTTGGTCCCTGTGGCAGGAGGGGGTCCCTCAAGTGGCAGCAGAGCCTCCACCGTGCTCTGCATCCCTGTGCTGGGCATGCGCCACCCTCTGCCTTCTGGTCCGTGTGTACTACCTATGCTCTTTACCTAATTTGGGTTTTGAAGTAACCACTTTTTAAAATACAACTTTATTTTAAAAAACTTGTAGCTACTATAAATGCAAAACCAGTGCTGTGTAAATTGGAAGGTAATGCACAAGTGGCCCTGGGGAAATTGCAGAACCACATTCAGACCCGGTGTGCCCCACACTCCAGCAAACACCAGTCCTGCTGAGATGCGCTCCTGAGCAGGGGGTCAGGGCATGGGACAGAAGTGGGATCCTAGCACCAGGACTCCCTCATCAGAGCCGGGAGGCCCTGTATGGAAGTGTGGTCAGCCTCAGTCCACCCAACCGGAGTGCCTAGCTAGCACTTAATGTTTTCCAGATCTATTCTGAACCCTATCCCTGCCTTTCCCTTTTCTAGAAACCTCCTCCAAAGCACACACACCCTCTGGAAACCCCTGTGGGATTTCCAATAGAGCCCTCCTTCCGTGTTTGCCTACAAGGAGCCTCAGGCCGCATGCTTCATGACGCCTCGTTGCTGCTTGTCTGTGTGCCTGGAAATAATGAGTTTGTGGCTGGAGGGAGGCCTCTTAAGCTGTGCAATCTACCTTGGTCACGTCCTGACCTCCTGGAGCTTCTGATGGGCTATTCTGTGAAGTGGGGTAGGGGTGAGTCCTGGGCTGGGGTTGTGAGATGCCGGTACCCAGTTCGGTGTTGGAATACTTCTCCACCCCTTTCCTGTATAATGTGCTTCAGCTCAGGAGGAGGAAGGCAGGTGAGCTTATGTCTAGGTGAGGTGGCCATGTGGACAGCTGGATGTTTGTGACTCCCTCTCTGCGTATCCTCTCCCTCTTCACAGGTAAGAATAAGAGAGTTGGGAAACAGTTAGCCTCTCAGAAAATCCTTCAGTTGCTGCACCCACATGTCAAGAACTGGGGGTCTTTACTGCGCATGTATGGCCGTGAAAGCAGCAAGATGGTCAAACAGGTAACGGGACCCCTCTCCGAACCCTGGAGTACATGTCTGGGGTCCCACTGTCATGGGTGACAGGGTCGGGCAGCTCTGCCCTTCTTCATGGCTAGTTCTCTTGGGCTCTCTGCTCGGCCATGCTTGTGACTTTGTGGGGTGGGGGTCATCCATGCCCAAGGGACCTGGGCCTGTCCCTGGCACTGTGGGGAGGGGGCTGCAGAGGTAGGAGGTGCAGTTGGTGAATGCCGCCAGCCCCGAGCCCTTAGTTCAGTGGCAGGAACCCTTGTGCTAATATGAGGCCACTCAGTGGCTATGGGAGAGGGAGCATGCAAGGGCAGCTCTCCTGGCTACGAATATCAGTCAACTTTTAACTCAACAGCCTGTGTGTGTCATCTGTTTTGTTTCTGCTGCTTTACCAAGATCTCAAGATTTAAACCAATATCCTTAGGTTTGTGAGCTTTGTGGGGTGGAGGGAAGTACTGGGAGGTGAGTGTTTACGTTTTTGATTTTCCCCCTGATGTTTACAGAAATGGAGTGGGTTATCAACACCCCAGTAAGTGGACGGGTGGTCGGTGTAGAGGGTGGGGACTAAAGGTGGTGACTCCGAGGACCATGCTGTAGATCCTCAGGTCATCCCTGAAGAGGCCCTCCCTCTGGGCATGACAAGGCAGTGTGTGGGAGGTGATGGGCCGCCAAGGTGCTTAGAGGAACCTCAGAATATGTATTGTTGAGAAAACTCAGATGCAATGCAGATGAAACTTACTCTGCCTTTGGCATATGCCCTCCTTCTGTGCACCCTCTCGGGCTAAGATTGAGGGAGAGAAAGCCCGCTCTCTCTCCTTAGGGTGGGAACTGTCCCTAAGCTGGAGGGTGAGGGGTCCAGCCCAGGCACAGCCCAGCATGCGGCTTTTGGAGGGCAAGTGGGGTCTGGCATCCCAGGCACAGCAGTTGTCCTGAGAGATGGAGGTCCTCAGGATAGTTTGATCCTGCTCTGAAAGTCTAGGGCATACAGAGACCTCAGCTACGGGGGCCGATGGCCTCCCAGCCAGGGTATGTCACTCTGGGCTCAGGGCTCTGGGCACAGTGAGTGCCTGGCTGATGGCTGTGTCCGAGGCCGTGTCCAGCTTCCCTGTTGTGCCTGGGCAGGAGCGGAGACAGCTGGGTGCCAGGGTGCCTTTGCCCCATAAAGGGAGGAAGCCGTGGCTTTGTGCCTGCTGAGGATGGGGCAGTGGGGGCAGCGTGGACTACGCCACGTTCTCTGCTTCTGCGTCAGCCCACCAGGTGCAGGTTGAGGGTGGGGCAGCTGGTGTGGGGTCATGCAGCTCCAGCTCCTGGTCCCTGAGGCAGTTCTGAGAGTGTGGCATTGTGCTCCCCAGGAGACCTCGGACAAGAGCGTGATTGAGCTGCAGCAGTACGCCAAGAAGAACAAGCCGAACCTACACATCCTAAGCAAGCTGCAGGAGGAGATGAAGAGGCTGGCTGAGGAGAGGGTGAGCACGGGCCATGGCTGCTCCATGCCCTCCATCCCCTCACCCCCAAGGCAGGGGAGGGGCACCTAGCTGTGTCACACTGGCAGCTGTGGGGGGAAAGCTGTCACCTAGGAACCCATCACTGGCTTTTGATGCCCTGGCAGTACCTGAGCACCCAAAAAGTCCTAATCCTTCCATATTAGATTTGCTTTTCCTTGAGCTTCAGCATTCATGGTACTTGTACCAAATTGCTGTATTTTTAGTCAGTGAGATCTGGCAGCCTCGGCCTGTGGTTATGAAGGACTTGCCCTTTTGTGTGCTGACTCTGGGTCCCCACTCGGTGTTGGCTGTTTGAGGGCAGGGACAGTGCACTGGCCAGGTCACCCTCACTCAGGGTCCTTGTGGGTGACAGACTGTCATCCTGGACCTCTTCCTCCTGGAGTCCTAGGCAGTTCTGTGAGGGGGCAAGGGAGAGTGTGGTTCACAGAACAATTGAACCAGGGTAGGACTCGGTCCCCGTGCAGCTTCCTAAAGCCACCCACGCGAGAGGCTTCTGGCTTTGGACTTTTCAGCTGTATTATCAGCCTGGGCCTGTATAAACCCTGAAGGAGGTATCTGTTGTCTGTGACCTTTTGGGTTCAGTAGATGCCTTGCTCCTGCCATTGGAGGGGTTGGGAGGTGGGGTGGGGAGAGGGACCCACTCAGGTGGCTTGTTCCTGGTGGCTGTGATTTCCTTGGCCCCTCTTTTGGGTGTGTATCCTGATTCTTAGGGAAGCGCCAGCAAGTAGTACTTTGAGGTGGCATCGAGGGAGACCCTCCCACCTAGCCCCTTGCCTGGCCCACTTCTCAGGCCTTCCCTCCTCCTTTCAGCCTGGCATCACAGAGCACAGGTGTTCTGCTATTCCAGACACTGCCTGGCACCAGTTTGCTAGACTCAGCCCCCCATCTACCCGTCCCTCTAGAGCCTGTTGCCTGAAGTTGAGCTGCATTTTCCCACCTCACCAGCATCCCTGACCTTCATTGTTCTTCCAGGAGGAGACACGGAAAAAGCCCAAGATGTCTATTGTGGCGTCTGCCCAACCTGGTGGCGAACCTCTGTGCACTGTGGACGTGTGAAGGAGGTGGCAGGCCGAGTGTGGGGGCTGCCAGCTCTGCTGCCAGGGAGACCACACACTGCTCTGCAGCCTCGCACCTTCAGTCTAAACTCTTCCCCTGCGGCCCCATGTCTGAGGGTCGGGGCCAGAGGGGTGGGGCTCTGGTACATCTGGACAGCCAGGGCCACATACTGTTTCCTCGGGGCTGCCTGCAGATCTGAGTGGACGTGTTCAAGCATCAACTCGGTCTGCCTGCACTTGGAGATAGCTGTGGACTTCTGCTTGCTGCAGACTGGTTTTATGAAGGTTTTCATGAATTTTAGTATATAACATGCACTGACAAATGATAGTTGGATAACAGATGAAATGAGAAAGTGATAGCTGAGTCTTATGGCGTCCTGTACCAAGGCTCTTTTTGCCCACTGTAGGGACCTAGTCAGGAGGCGCACACTGGTACCCCATGCCCTTTCCTGCCTCCTGCATTTTTTTTTTCTCTGAAAATGTTATAACAGGAAGGAATATTTCAGACCTTTTTGGTTTAAAATAAACACAATTTTAGCATCAGAACTATTTTTCAGAGATTGCAGGCAAACTGTCAAGGTGATTATTCTTCAGCCAGTGTGTCTCCACCTGGCTTATTGCTCTGACCCTGGGCTGGGGTGAGGTCCATTTTTCTAAGTAAGTCTTAATGCCCTAAACACTCGCCTTCTTAGACACCAAGGCCTGTCACCTTCACTGGTCTCTGGCAACTTTTTACTCAAGATTTTTGCACAGTCAAGCCCCATCTGTCCACCCTTCAATTTTTAAAGCTTTTATGGTATTTTAGCATTTGGAAAGAAACTTTTACAGTGAGTAGAAGATAGATTTGGAATCATGTAGCAGATATAAACAATGCATTTTAGCACGTGGATTAATTTAAAAAGAGGAAACAAGAACCTTCAGTGCAATTGCCCATTCTTGATCATAAACTGGCACTCCTCTCCAGAGCTGGAGCAGGCAAATGGCAAGTGGCTGTCCTGCTCCCGTGACTGAGGCTTCACTGGATTTCAAAGGCAACTGCCCTGTGTATCCAGACCTGGTGACCAGTTCACTTCTCTGACAAAGTAGCTTATGTTTTCCAGGTGGCCCCTGTGGACAGGTGCAAGGATAGATGTGACCCTGCCCTGAGTCCCATGGAATGTGGGTATGCTTGGGGTCTTGGGTTGTCCCCACATGCAGGGTAGTGGTGGTCAGCCATTGACTCTATCCCCAGCTCCTGTTCAGAGTAGCACATGCTCTTGGCACACTGCCAGATGCAGGAGCCCAGTGTTGGGCTGCAGTCACGTTCCTCGGGTGTGCCTATCTTCCACCATATCCCCGATGGATGGCGTTGATGGCGTTTCCAGGAAGACAATGTCAGCCTTGTAGGCCACCCAGTGTATCCCTCCCTTACCACCTATGTGACCAAGGTTGGCTTCTATGTTGACCTTTATAAAACAAAATCATCAAATCACGTTGCTGTAATTAGACATTTGCTTCTGTCTTGCCTCCTCTCTGCAGCTGTGAATAATCATTTGACCGTGACCGGTTGCCCTTAGAACAGCCAGATGCGCCATTGTGAACCAAAGCTTTGTGCACACGTACTAGTAGAAGCGGGTGAGCCTTGCTGCGGCCTCCCCATGTCCTTCGTCTGTCCTGTGTATGGGTGTGAGTGTTGTGTGCACATAGCTGTGCTGCGGGGGTGGAGGGCAGGGAGAGCCTGTGCTGATGCCACTTCTGTGCATCATACCTCCCAGGTGACAGCTGGGCCATAGCTATAACAGTGAGCCTTGATTGTCTGGACACATAAAGCAAAACTGTCCAAAAGGTTCTGACTGATGTTTCTTTTTTCTAACCATGGGAGATAAGCCCTTGTAAACCGTCAACTGGCCACAACTTCTGGAGCAATCCCTATGAGCTGGGCATTTGCCTGGACACAACTGCTCTTGCAGCAGCGTCCCAGTCGGGCCCCTTCCTTAGTCACCATGGAAGTGGCCTCCCTTCAAGGCTTGGCCAGTTGGGGATGCAGTGACATTGAGAGTCCTCCCCTTAGCTGATACAGGAAAATTGGGGACTAGGTAGACAGGGCCAGCCCCTTGCCCTGTGCTATCACACATATACACTGCCCTTGGCCATGAGAACTGAATCTTTTTCCCTGGGGTTAAGCATAAAACCAGACTTTCCATCAAACAGCAAGCTCTGCTGTGACTTCTGCCACACAGAAGCTGGAAGAACTGCCCCAGCACCCAGCCCTAGCTGGGTTGATTCTTGACTGTCCCCAGGGCTGGCAGGGTACTACTAGCAGGAGCCAGAGGTTGAGGCTTAGACTAATCTCCATGGGTTGTCCAAGGTTCCCTCCTGGCTCCGTCCATTTGCACCTGTAGTGGCAGGCAGAGTAGCCTGTGTGTCAAAGCTCTGGGTTCTCATCACAGAAACATTGGTAGTTTAGCAGTTGTTTATTATAGCCCCTGTGGCCCAGCTCTTACAAAAAGAACGGGGTGGGGGGTGTCGCAGGCTGCAAGAGCCCACGGCCCACAGGGAAAGCTGGCTGTAAGTGGGACAGTTGGGCCTTATGCCCTGTTGGTTACTGCCTCTGAGCATCTTGGGGTGAGGCAAGGATTCAAGAAGCCCCTTAGTTTCTGATCGTGATGCAGAACAGACTACCCTGTTCTGGAAGGGCTGGTTTCTACTGCTCCAGGGGCCTAGGAAGAGGGGGAGCCCCCTGTTTTCTGCTGGTTATCATCTGGGGGCCTTGGTGGGGGCTGGGCTGGAGGGTCCTGGGGCTCCAGGGTCCCTGTGCCATTGTGGTTCTCTACCCTCTCGAACAAGATGAGCATCTCACAATGGGGGGTCTGCGGGAACAGGTCCACGGCCACAGCCTTGACTGGCCGGAAGGGGGTGCCCTTCACCCGGTTAGATGGGGCCCGGCAGAGGCTGTGGTGGGAAGGGAGCAGTCAAGGTCAGCCAATGCCTGGGGCTCCTATGTGTGTGTGTGTGGGGGGGGAAGGAATGGGGTTGGGTGCTACTCCAGTCCACCCCAGGCCCCCACCTCACACTCACTCTACAAAGTTGCCCATGGCTGCCCGAGGGTTGCAGGAGACATACAGGAGCCGCTTGAGATTCTCAGCTCTGCGGATGGCCAGGATCACTTTAGAATCTGAGGAGATAAAACTCCTCAAGGAAAGGCCCCTACCTCAAGGAGGGATGGGGGGAGGGGGGTCCAGTAAGCGTGGGCATCAGGCCTGAGGCTGCACAACCTGGTGTGCCACCCAGACGTCACTGCCCTTTCCCCTATCATTCCCAAATGGATGCCACTCACGCAAGCCAGCACGGGGCGGGTCCAGGATAGCAACGAGCTGCTGAGAGGCCAGTCTGCTCACCACAGCAGGTACCAGGTCCTCGGCCCTCCCGCAGTGGAACTCAACATTGTTCAACTCTGTAGATAGCACAGTCGTCCTGTTGGGATGCAGGACACAGTCTCCCCCACCCTTCAGGGGGCCCACCCAGCTGCCTGGTGTCCTGAAGCCCCTGCCCTGAGGCACCTTAGGAAAACCCCTAGCCAAGGAGCCCGCTTGCCCTTCTGTCAGGCAGCCCTGGACATCATGAGCACATGGACACACAGTAGGAGCCCTGCTGTGCTCTCTGCATACCTCCCTCCCCTTACCCTGACCCTAGAAGCCACGTAGTAAGATCCAAGTGTTGTGTTGAGGTGACTGCCCACTGTGGTGCGCTGGCTCTCACCATTGTTGCGGGCATTCACCCGGGCATCCTCCACGGCCTCCTGGCACAGCTCAATCCCAATGACCCTCTTCACTTTCTGAAGCAAGGAAAGGGCAGACTGATGGCACACTGCCCTACCCTGGGGGCTTCTTGGGGAGGGGAGTAGCAGCAGGAGGCACCGTGGGGAGTAGAAGAGGATCTGGGACAGGCTGGGGGTTAACCTCTCAGTCTTTAACCTGGGGGTCACGCAGTGATACCATGTGGGTGGGGTAGGGAGAGGGCATCCTCAGCTTGGGCAGGAGGGCTCACCCGGGCTAAGGCCAGGCCAATGGTGCCAGTGCCGCAGCACACGTCCAGCACTGTGCTCCCAGAGTCCAGCTGGGCCCAGTCTTGGATGACTGTATAGAGCACCTCAGCAGCCGGGCTGTTTACCTGAAGGGCAGGCCACCACCACACAGAATGTCAGAGCAGCCCTGCTTCCCAGGTCAGCCTCCTCCCCTCCTGTAGCCCCCACCAAGCGCCTGCACTCCACAGGCTCTCCCCTTGCTAGGAGACATGTGGCCCAGTCCCGGGCTTACTCACCCTTTTCCTAGGTCTCCTGTTCTCACTGCTTCCCCACCTCTAACTGCTGAGTGCCTCAGGGCTAATCCTCCAACTGCCCCTGCATCCATGAGATGCTGGATAACCTCACTCAGGGCCCTGGTGTTCAAAAGCAACTTAATGTTGAACCCCGCCCCCCCCTTATGAACTCTGAGTGCCAGATGTGTGGGACCCTCCCCCCCACAGCAGCAGCAGGCATGGAAGACTCCATCAGAGTTCATGTCAGAGCCTTGGCATCACCCCAACTCCCACACCCCACATATGGTCCTCTAGCAGGGTCGTCACAAGGGTCTAGTTAGTACAAACGACTTCTTTCCTACCTCACAGCCCTTGCAGCTCCCCTGCCTGGATGCTCTCCCCCAGACCTCTGCAGGCAAACAACTTGTCGCCGCCCTAGCCCATTGCCCTTATTACATCTTGACATCTCTTCGGGACTCCCTCTGTGTCTACATTATGAAGACACAGGAACTCTGGACTACCTGAAAGAAGGCGTGAGGGGAGATCTGGAAGGTCAAGCCCAGCAAGTCCTCGTGGATGCATCGGTCCCCAGCCACATGCTCCAGGGGCAGGCCCTCTTGGCTGGGAGTTTTTCTATGGGTGGTAGGGCCAGTTGGTCAGTGTCAGCAGCTCTAGCAGGAACCCACCCCACCTCCCATCCAGGCTCCTCACCGCTGTCCCTCCTCCACGAAGTAGAGGCAGGTCACCCCGCTGGTCTTGCCCGGCCCCGCTATGAAGTGATGCGCCAAGGAGGCCTTCAGTTCTGCCAGCTCTTCAGGGCTCAGTTTCTAGAGTAGGCAGTAGAAAAGGTCCTGTAAGACTGTGTCACATGCGGTCCACTAGAGCCGGGACACCCTCCCACAGCAGGGCTACCCTGCTTGAGACCTGAGGGTGGAAGTAGGCAATGGCCATGGCTTGGCCTCGGCGGCTGGTACGCACAGTCAGCTGCTTCCAATGGCCCGAGTATGTCTCTGGGTTGTACGCTGAGTATGGAGTAGACCTGCGGGAGCCACAAGCGGCCCTGAGTCCATGAAATCTGCCACCCATGCTGACCAGAATTGGGAGAACAGCCTACCTTCCTCTCCTCCAGCCACACCCACCAGGCAGGACCCGGCCCTCTGCTTCCAAACCGCCGCAGGACTTCCCAGAGCCCCCAGCCCAGGCACAAGTCCTCACCGGATGAAATCCTGGAAGGCCTTCACCACCTGCTTGGTGGCCTTAGGGATGTGCATGGTATCAAAGGGGGCCGCCACAGCACACGTCCCGCCCTTGTACTTGCCTAGCCGGCAGCCGACTGTGTTGTCCTGCCCATCCACCCCGATGCCAACCAGAAACTCACACTTGTTACGATACTCGGTCTGCAGGGCGGGTGGAGGGAGGCAGAGAGACATTCCTGACCTTACCCTGGTATTCCCGCACTTGTGCATGGAGGGAACAGAGCAGCAGATGAGAGATGGCAACGAGAGGCCCCAGCTCCCCACAGGGCCTGGCAGTCCAGGGGACAAGGCTGACAACAACTAGCAATCATGTGATGAGTATGAAGAATAAATGCAAAGCAAGAGGAGGGATGGGAGAGATGGGCAAAGATAGCTTCTTTGAGAGCATGGGGTGAAGGTTTGTGGGCCTGACCTGCTGGGGTGACGGCCTGACCCCCTCCAGCGGGCAGCAGGCCTTGTTGTGCTTGTGCTTCTGTGACAGCAGCCAGGGCAGCAGGGCACGGTTGGTGCTCCCAATTTCCCTGAAGGATGAGGTGGTGCCGGGGTTGGACTCAGCCTGTCACCCCCAACCCATCTCCAGCCACTCTCCAAATGCCCAGGCACCCGGGACCCTCCCTTGGGACCTCATTATCCCCACTGATGCAGACCCTGAGAGTGTCTGCAGGGCTTGCATGAACCCAGAGCTGAGCAGAGCTCCAGTGCCAAGGAAGCAACTGTGCCCATACTCACTTGGCGAGCTTCTGCAGCACCTGCTCGCACTCCAGCCGCTTCCGTTCAAGCTGCTCTGTGTAGGGCACGGTCCAAAGAGGAGTCACTACATCAGCCACGCATGTAGCTGGAGGCTCACCCTCATCCTCATGCCGCCGCTTCCTGGCCATGGGATCAGCTTTGGGCCTGGCCAGGCGCACGCTGAGAGGGCGGCCCTTCCAGAGGGCACCGTGCAGCACACGCAAGGCCTTGTCCCGCTCAGCGGCACTGCGGAATGTCACAAAGGCGCAGGGAGGTTGCCCAAAGAGCTTGGTCTTATGGGGCTGCAGGCCAAAGCGGCCCAGAAAACGCCGGACATCGCTGAAGCTAGCATGGCGTGGCACGTTCTGCAGCTCCAACTTGAAGATCTCCGAAGTGAATAAGTCGTCCCTGATGTAGCTGTATAGCCCAGGCTGAGGCCCTGACTCTGCAGCCGTCCCAGCCCCCTCTTCCTCCTTCTCCGTTTGTGGGGCGGGGGCTGCAGGGCTGCCCAGAGCACTGCTGCTGTCCTGGCCGCAGCCCTCCATTGGCCCTGGGCCCTGTGTGGACACAGGCAGGACTAGGATGAGGGCTGGACGCCCAAGCTCCCTGGCCCCATACCGAAGCCTCCATTAGTGCACCCTACACCCAGCCCTACCCCTTTTTACCCCCACTCCCTCTCCCATCTCAACTCCCCATGCCCACGGGTTTCCTACCTCTCCCGCACCTCCATCCCCTCCCACGCAGTCCGCCATCTCCGCCCCGCGTCTCTCGCTAGGATCTGCCTTCACTTTACTTCGTTGTCGAGTTGATCACTCATCGTCCAGTTCGTCCAAGGCCTGGATTGCAGGCCCCACAAGTGTCGCCTCCGCCGCCTCGCCCTGGGCCTGGCGCACAGGAGGCGCTCAGAGCACGGGTGCTGCGCCGCCCCGTGCGGGTGTGAGACTCGAACCCTCGGTGGTCAGGTCCACGGTCTCGGGCATGGGGTACACATCCCGCCCGCCAGGGGCCCACGCCTGCCGCTCTCTCCGTCAGCCGCTCTCCCGTCGGCCAGTTCGTGGAGACTAGGTAGCGCGTCTCTATCATTCTGGCTTCCGTCAACGTCATCGCCGCGCGCCGGCCCCGACCCCGGTGTCTGGCGCCTGCTTTCGCTAACTCGAGGGGCGCGCGCGGCCGTGGGGCGGAAGTGCGCGCGAAGGCCGCCGGGAGCTCACGCTCCCCTGGCTGCCGGGCGGCCAGGCATGCGCCCCGGGCATTTTGGCGGGAAGCGAGGGGTGGGCCGGACAATGAGATTGTCCGTCGCCTGAGCCAATAAAGCTGCACTGGTTTTGAATCACGGCGCGTTTCCCGCCGCTGGGGTCAGAGGTCAGGGTTCGGGTCGCGGGGCGGAGGGAACTGCAGGCGAGCGGGAGGCGCCGGCGCCAGACGCGGAGGGAAGGAGCTACGAACAGCCGCAGAGAGGCCGCGGAGCCAGCGACGACCAAGCCAGCCGAGCCGCTGCCGCCGCCGCCGCCGCCGCTGCTGCCGCGCCTCCATGGCGGCCGCCAAGGTGCGGCTAGGCCCGGGCAGGAACTGGGCGGGGGCCAGGGGGCCGCGGCCGCTACTGGCGGCCACGTGGGCGGCCCGCGCCGCCGCCGCCAACCCCCGCTGACCTGAGGTCTCAGCGCTTGGGGTCTCCGTTGCGCAGGGTCGGGCTGTGGGAAGCGCGGCCTGGGGGCTCGAGGCCTTCGGGGCTGGGGCGCGCGGGACCTGGGGGCGCGGGCTCGGGCCCGGGGGCTGCGGGGTGCCCGCATGACCTTGGGGCGGCCTCGGGTGGTCGGTCGAGCTCCATCAGGATGTGGGGCGGCCCTGCCGACCAAGCTCTTTGGTTTTGCGTTCATTTCACCGTTTGCCTGGGACGCTGGGCAGGAGGCCGGTTTCCTCTGGCTCGGCCCACTTGCGGGCTTCTTACCAAGACCCTGCATCCCTCCTTCCCATCGTCTACGCAGCACTTCATTCATTCTGTTCTAGTCTCGAACCGCCACAGGCCTCTGCGGCGGGACCTCTCGCCTTCCAGCGCCGGGGACGGGTATTGGACGCGCCGACCTAGGCAGGGGACGGCTTTGTTGGCTGCGTGGTGTCTGCTTGGGTGAGCTGGCTGAGGCTGAGCCGCAGTGCTATCCAGCCAAGGAAAGCAGCGAAGGCTTATCTTTATCTTTTTCGGCTTACGTCTGGTAGTGAAGTGCTCTGGTTTCTTTTGGTTTTATAGCTCACCAAGCCACGCGTCCTGTGTCACTTGACATAAGATCCTTTGTGTCCTACAGTTCTCCAAACTAGACCAGAATTTTATGACTTTTATTTGAATTCTTTTGACTTAACTTGATTTCTGAACCAAGATAAAGGTTCTGACAGAACTGTGAATTCCGTGTAAAACTATAAGCCCCAACGTTTTTTTCCTTCTAGTAAGCAAGAGCACAGATTTTTCTCAACCAGCAAAAACTCATAGGGTTGATTTTTGCTTTAAGGGTGAAACTGTCCTTGAGGCCCTCTTCAGTCTTCCTTCCTTGTGTCCTTTAATCTTCATCTGGCAGCATCACTATCCACATTTTACAAATGAGGAAGCTGAGGCTCAAAGAGATGGGGCAGTTTCTCTCAGGCCATTCTGTGGCCGAGTTTTAGGAACCCCAGTCAGATATGATTGATGCATCTGGGGGAGGGTCCTGAAGTCCAGTGTCGCACTGTGTGCTGGACATACATGCAGACCTTTCCTGGTGTGAAAGGCCGTGGACTGAATCTCTTGCTTTGGGGTGAGGCCAGTAGGGATGGCCACTTCCAGCGCTGGTGAACTCTGGCTTGTGGGCCAGGCTCACTACCAGCAGTCACCTCTCCACACCTCCCTCCACAGGACACCCATGAGGACCATGATACCTCCACCGAGAATGCAGATGAGTCCAACCATGACCCTCAGTTTGAGCCTATAGTTTCTCTTCCCGAGCAAGAAATTAAAACGCTGGAAGAAGATGAAGAGGAGCTTTTTAAAATGTAAGTAACCTGATGCTGCTTCAGAAATAGATAGCATTAGTTTAAGATAGAATTTATGGTTTTTATGGGTGTCAAGGTTTTGGCCTGACCTTTAATCAGACCAAGGCTGAAGAAAGGGCCTAGAATTGTGTGATGGCTAATCCTACATGGAAATCAAGGCTGCTGTTAGAATCCCCTTATTGGATAATGCATTAGTGGGTGCCCCTGCTGCCCCATGGCCAGTGCTGTGGAGAGCATAGACACTCCCTAGTGTCCTGTCATTCTGCTCTGTCCACAGGGGTGCATTTCCCTTCGCGCCTCGGCTGACTCCCACAACCCCTTTCCCCTGGTTGAGCAGGGAGTCTCTACCGTTACTACTGTTATTATCTTTTTTTTTGCCATGAATTTTGGCGGTCTGAAATTTGTGAATCCCTGATTCATGTTTTGGGTTTTTTTTAAGATTTTTTATTGGGGAATTGGGATGGGAACAGTGCTGGGGAGTTGGGGGAAGGGGAACAGACAAGTTGCTGTCGTTTTGTTCTTCAATCTAGTTGTGGAGGATGTTGCTTCACTGGCCCAAGTTGGCACCATCATTGCGCTCTTCTCTGGCGAGGCAGATCAGTCGCCGGCTTCTGGACGGCCGCTCACTGCGGCTGCTGGCCACACACGGTAGCCCATGGCAATCCACTGCCACAGGGACTGCAGCCCACGCCGTCGCTGGCGACTCATGGCAGCCCAGCTCCAGGTTGAGCTGCTGTTCAGCATCTCAGCTGCGGAGGGCAGTGTCACTGGCCCTCATATGTGGGATCCGAACCGGGGCCCTCTGGCATCCCAAGCCAGTTCTTAACCATCACGCCACTCGGCCGGCCCCCCTGATTCATGTTTTTAATGCACAAAATAAAGCCTGGACTTACGAACAAAAGTGGGTGGTATTACAATTACCAAAATTACTTTTAAAAAGTACTCTAATTGTGCTTCTTGGCGCCTTCTGTGAGAAGCTAGTGGCAGGGGTTATTTTGAAACAGTGTCTGCCTAGCAATGTGTTGAGATGTCTGCAACAAAGTCATAGCACTGCCCAGCCTGTGACCTGTTGCCTATGCTCAGAACTGCAGGAAATGCTAGGTTTAGTTACAAATTAATGGCAATAGGTTGTAGTGTTTCCCCTGTCCAAGCTTGTGGAACTCGCCTGCCCCTCTTCAAATCTATCCAAGATACCAGGTTACGGTTTGAGTGTTTTGCTGTGGGTAAGGGAAAGGTAGCAGAGACAGTCACCAACACTGCGACCCTTGCTCTAAGGAAGGGAGAATGGGGAGACCAGCCCCTCCCCACCACTCCCAAAGGCATGGGAAAGGAGAGATGCATACTCCTCTTTGGTCTCAGAGGGTGGTGGGAATCTCCCAGAAAACTGGTTCTCCAGGTCTCTGCTCTGTCCAGAAATGATGCTGCAGCCAGGGGCTGGCTTCTCCCAAGAGTGAGGACTGCTGGTGGTGCTATTGCTGTCACCTCCCTGCCCTCACAAGAGGTAGGAAGTGCTCCTGGTGTCCTAGACACAAATCCTTCCTGAGGGAAGTGAAGCCAGCAAGTAGGGCTTTTATATCTGGGCCCTTGGGGCTCTAGACCAAAGCTTTGGGGACATCCTTGTGAAAACATTGTCTCCCTTAACAGAATTGAGTTTGGGAGGGAGAGCAGAATGTTCTGCAGCAAAGAGACCAGCAGAGCTGGGGTCCTGTGATGGGGAACAAAAGGGCAGGATGGTCAGTGGGGGAGGGAGGGCACTGGCCTGAGCCCTAGGGCAGGACTGCTGGGGTGGGGGCCTTGCTTGGGCCAGTGTGAGGTACTGTTCTGGGCAGGGAGGTGGAGTAGTGGGCCAGAGCCTGGAGGCCTGAGCTGAGGCCTATAGTTCCCTCTCTGGGTTGGGGGCCAGGGAAACATAGAAGGCATCTCACAGCTGAAGGAAGGGTGGCCCTGTGGGGCCCAGGAAGCCCCTGTTACACCCTAATGGCAGACATGCCCAACAGACTTGGGTGGGCTACTTTGCTAAGGGGTTTGGTCTTTCTCTTAGAAAACGTGACTGTGGAAATCTTTTTTCTTTCTTATCAGCTTAGAACTTGGAGTTTGTTGGTCTGTTTTGTTCTTTTGCTGATGTTTTGGTTTCTAGCTCTTAGAGTACAAAGAGAAGAAAGAGTGTTTGATGAGACATCAGGTACAGGCATTTGTTTATTGCCCAGAAAATGTGTGTTCTTTCCAGGTAAGCGTTTGACTTATCTGTTGCTCTTTATGTGTCTAAACTCTCGCTTAATGGCTTTTCTTGAAGGCGGGCAAAGCTATTCCGGTTTGCTTCAGAGAACGATCTCCCAGAATGGAAGGAACGAGGCACTGGCGACGTCAAGCTCCTGAAGCATAAGGAGAAAGGGACCATCCGCCTCCTCATGAGGAGGGACAAGACCCTGAAGATATGCGCCAACCATTACAGTAGGTGGCCTCTCGGGTGTGTGTTCTACACGAGGACAGCTTTGGATCGTGGGGCAGCCTGCTTTCAGGGCTGCGCTGGGAACCTGGGAGTGCACTGTTACATGGAGTGCAGGTTCACAGTGTGATTTTTGAATTTAAAATAGGAAATGAGTTTTCCCAACGTGCCCCTGAACTCAGAGCAGACCTACAGAGAAGCTTATAGCCCACAGGCATGTGGATTCTGAGCAGGCAGGTTGGACGTAGAGTCCCACTGTGAGCTTGGGACTCGAGTACCTGCAGGAGAACCAGGCACAGCCTGAGGGCCTGTGAGTGCTTTTGTGTGAACGCTCACATTTGTCTGAGGTGCCTGGGTGGCAGACTTGCCTTTCTTTGGGTGTTCTGTCCCCACAGGGTATCTCCTGGGGAGGATGCAGGAGGGAAATTGGGCAGGGAGAAGGTGGCTGCCTCATCCGTAGGGGCCTCTGAAGCTGCATAGGGGAGTGGGTGGGGCGCCTTCGGGCAGGTGTGATGTGTCACCCCTGGCTCAATGTATGAAGGGATGGGTCCAGGAAAAGCCATATGAGGCCTGGCCTGTGAAGAGGCAACAGTAGGTTCTGAGCTACTTGAGTCCCTTGACTGCTGGGCTATTCTGCAGGGCTCTGAGTATGTCTTTGGAAGGCAGCATTTCCTGGGCTGCGTTCCTGATCCAGGGCCATGTCTGAATTTCTGGGTGTACTGTGTGTCCCATAGGGCAGGGCTTCTTATCTGGCACATGGGGTGACCACTGGCAGGACCTGGAGTGGGACAGCTCTTGAGGGTGCTGTGGAAGTGTGGGTGGGCTTACAGAGGCCCTGAGGTGGGAGGGACCTCCCTGCACCACAGTTGCCTCTGCCCCACTTGGTCGTCTTCGGCCAGCCTCCACATCCCCAGCCTGTCTGCTCTGGCCTGGTCCTTGCCCTCCAGCCCATATTGATTCCCTTCCTTGGGGGTCTTCCTGACATCCATGCTTTTTTTAGAGCCTTAACATGTTGCTGGGTCACTTAAGTGTGAGTTGTTAGTGGGTCCTTGGCCTGGTGCAAACCGCAGGCCCTTGATGAGCCAGGTGTGTGGTTGTGGGCGGAGGCTGTGTCACCTGTGTGTACTCTGTGCAGCGAGCAGGTTTGCTGGGCGTCTGAGTAGGGGTTGGGTAATTGCGCTCGACTCAGACAGTGATATGTGCCTGCGGCTGGGCATGGACCGTCCAGGTCCTCAGAGACCTTTGCCAGGGGCATGCG